ATTCATCAATGTTTATTTCCTGGTAGAGTAAAATAAATTGCCAGTCGAGAAATAACGAAAAATAATATTAGAATCACTCTTGTGTGTTGAAACTATCATATAAATTTCGACACTACTGTATATCATAGTCAATCGGAACCGTACAGTATATTATAAAAAAGAAAGCGTTTCTTACCTCTGCGACTACAGCCAGTATAAGAACATGAAGTTGTTGAACTGCATCGCCAGCATGATGGCGAATCAGACGTCGAACACACAGTAATCCTTGGCATTTTGACTCCCTGCAGTGTTTAACGATGAAAAAATTATATGAGTACATATGTCTTTTATTTGAACTGTGCTTCACAAGATCTGTTTACATTGCGAACGTTGACCTGGCCGGATCCTTGCTTTGATAGTGTAAACAAACTTTGGTCTGGCCTGGACCTGACCTAGGCCAAAAAATGTGGTCCCACTGCAAACGTTGGCCTCTGCCTGTCCTAAGCCGAGTCTTGTATGTATTGAGCCAGTTTGATGTAATACATAGTGGCAAAATAAACAATGTAAACGTTACCTGAATTACCTCGGCCTTACCATATAAAGCCCGATACAATCGGGCAATTTTTCCTTGACAAGTTTTATTTACAGGGGCCGGTTGTACGAAGGTCGGATAGCGCTATCCACCGGATAATGATTTTTTCAACCTTTGTAAAATGCTTGAAAAACTTTGAAACTACGGATATAGACGACACAAGAAGTATACAAAACATTCAACTTACAAAATACTAAACTTTAATACGAGCTATACCAATCAACGACTGATTTAACAAAGCTTGAAAAAATCACTATCCAGTGGATAGCGCTATCCGGCCTTCGTACAACCGGCCGCTGGTATAAGGCAAAAAATCGACAATTTTTTGTTGCCAAGGAGCTTGGTTCCAAAGCTAGTCATGCCAGCTTTTGGACAAGGAAAATTTGTTCTTGTTTACGGCCGGCAAGGAAAACTTGACAAGTGTACATGGAAATACTTTTATGGTTTTGGCAAACAAAAGGCAGTCTCGATGTGAAATAAATGTATGGACTTTAGCTTTACCCAGGCCGGTCCAAGGCTCGTACGTCTCTCTGTCACATTTAAAATCGTCTGGCGTTGCAATTTATTGCGCTAAATTTATATATAAAAGTATAAAACATGGACTAACCATTCAGCATCCTCTAGAAGTTTCAACGCCGTTTTAATAGCTGCATCACCATTGGAAAACGGTTTGAGCTCACTTTCAGTAACCTCCCAGATTGGAACGGAGGGATTGATGGACACTGGAGCTGCGTGAGACTGTTTGGAAGACTCGTTGGCTGTAGATGTTTCTTGTGCTTGGTGACGGCTACTCCTAAATGAACATTAACTATATTAATATCATGAAGAAATAACGAAACTGGACTAATTAAGCGGTTCAATGTACAATTCTAAACGAACTTTATTTATACTGGATAGGTCTATATCAGTTCCAAACTGTTCTTCCTGGAGGTCCAATAAGGATAATCTCTTATTGATCCAGCGTTACTAGAAGAGGAAACCTAACCTAAACTAACTTTAATTATACTGCAATACTGCATAGCTATATCAGTTCTAAGCTGTTCTTCCGAGAGGGTCCATTGATTAAGGATCATCTCTTATTGATCCAGTGTTACTGCAGGAGGAAACCTGAACTAAACTAACTTTAATTATACTGGATAGCTCTACAGTATATCAGTTCCAAACTGTTCTTCCTAGAGGTGCAATAAAGATCATCTCTTACCGATCCAGTGTTACTACAGGAGGAAACCTAAACTAAACTAAACTATAACTTTAATTATACTGCACGACTATATCAGTTCTAAGCTGTTCTTCCGAGAGTGTCCATTGATTAAGGATAATCTCTTATTGATCCAGTGTAACAGTGTTACTAGAAGAGGAAACCTAAACTAAACTAACTTTATTTCTACTGCATAGCTCTATCAGTTCTAAACTGTTCTTCCTAGAGATCTAATAAGGCCAATCCCTAATTCGTCTGAATTTAAATTATATTTATATTCAGCAGGAAAAATTAACTAAACAATTGTTATCGAGACCGCAGGATAACTCTGTTATAAACTGTTCTTTCTAGAAGCCCACCAAGAATAATTTACAATGGTACACTGTTACTACACGAGAACTCCAGAGTACCCGAAAGGCCGAAAAGGAATCCAATTAACCGAAACTATATGATTAAGAGGGGAATCTTTTGTATGTTACGTAACATGTGCTCAAAACTAATGCGTATACTATTCCATTTGATTATGACTATATTCAAATTTTTGATACGTTTTTCAAGCGGCAAACAAACTTAAAAAGAATGTTTAGTGCTTTATCTGAACTATTATGGAAAGATTAACTTTTCTCAATATAAGGCTCGCTGGCTGTTACTTACTGACTAGCATTTGCAGATTTCTTCTTGGGCGATGATACAGGAGGTTTGTTTACCACTGTTCCGGGTGCTGATGGCGCGGGTTTATTTACCGCTGTACTTGGCACTGCGGGCGCATATTTGTTTACCGCAGTACTCGATACAGAAGGCGCATGGTAACCTTGCACAGATAAATCTAAAAGAGAACATGTAAAAATGACATTTTAATATTACCATTAATATGTAATATTAATATTACCACTAAATTTTGATCTATAGGTAAGAAGAACAAAATCCATCACCACAGCTAGAAAGAGCATGTTAAAATTGTAAAATTGCAAAGTTTGGCCGCGAAATGTTGTAACTATAATGCGGAAAATATAGCCCTGCGAAATTTGCAAATTCTGCATTAATTTGTATTACGCGCGGGAAAATGCACCATATTTGGGTCCAAATCTTACTGTAAATGACAGAGTATGATCGGCCTCAAATATAAAACAAATAAACAATAAAGGAATATCGAATGGTTTTCCGTGCAGGATTGCGTGATCCATGCACGAGGGATGTCGCGAGACTTTCGGAAAGCGTAAAAATACTCGAGCCGCAGGCGGGTGTATTTTTACGCTTTCCGAAAGTCGAGCAACATCCCAAGTGCATGGATCACGCTATCCTGCTTGCAAAAACCATTTGGTAATTGTTTTATAAAATAACTACAGTGAAACAATGACATTTTGAAAATCCCGCGAAGACATTTAATTCCTCGTGCAGGATAGCCTGATCCTGCACGGCTATTGCAAAACCAATCAAATGGTATTCCCTATTGAACAAAATTTTGATCTAGACAAGTCTAGACAAAAATTTCATCACAGCTTGAAAGAGCATCACAAAATTAGTAATATTCCAAAGTTTCGTTGCGAAATGTTGTAAAATGCGGATAATATAGCCCTGCGAAGTTTGCCGTTTTTCAGTCATTTTCTATTACGCACGGGAAATTGGTACCGCTTTCTGAAAAAAGGTATCAATTTCCCGCGCGTAATACAAAATGACTGAAAAGCGGCAAACTTCGCAAGGGTACATTATCCGCATTTAACAACATTTCGCAACGAAACTTTGGAATATTACTAATTTTGTGATGCTCTTTCAAGCTGTGATGAAATATTTGTCTAGACCTGTCTAGATTAAAATTTTGTTCATTAGGGAATAGGTCCATTGCGTGTTTCACTGTAGTTATTATATAAAATGTATTACCTTCCATATGTTCAGTGTTGACTTCGTTTACTTCCTTCTTCTGCTGTATTTTCCTCAAGGTCTCCGCTCTGTCTCTCTGTCTCTGCACCTCCTTGACGGTCTCCAACTCTTCCAGCTCATTCTTACTTTTCCAAAACTCCTCCTGTGCCGTCTCCTCTCGTTTCTTCAGCTGCTGCGATAATCTCTCTTGCTTCAGCCTCTCCTTCTCTCTCTCCTTCTCTTTGCGTTTAATCAAGTTCTCGATGTCTTGTTGTTCTTTGGCTAACTTTTCTCGGAAGATCTGCTCCTTTGATTCATGTTTCAAACTGTTCTGTCTCTCCAGTTCCTCGATTCTCTGTCGTTCCCGCATGATTCGTTGCTCCTCTTCGATTCTCTTGCGCTCCATGCGTTCTCGCGTCGACTTCGACAAACTTTGTCGCTCACTTCGGGAATTGTCGTATTCCTCCGGCGATGAGGATCGTTTAAGGTACTTACGATCTAAACAAAACAAAACCGCAGGGTTGGAAAAAATATTTTACTTTCTGTAAGCACAAGAGAAAAATTGAAAAATTTCTGCAAATAATCAAGCAAATCAAGTACTCGCACACTGTAATCGTGTGGCACTAACAAGTTGTCGGACTCAATGTCATGCTATGTTTTAACAGAAAAGAATTAATTTCAGTGCACTGAGAATCTTTAATAGTACTTTTAAGAATATAAAGCTACGTTTACACGCTGCGATTAATCGTGTACGATTCGTATTCTGGCGTATTAAAATGAGTGCTGGCGCTATAGTTCAATGCCGTTTCTTTAAAAAGACATTTTAAATGTAGCCAGCTTAAGCGTGTTTACTCAATGACATATGCCAGAAAACGAATCGTACACGACAGGGGGTTACATGTTCTCTCAGAAAATTTTGAAAATCAAGTGTCCCAAATTGACTAAAAATTCCAAACGTAAATACTGACTGAATTGTTGAGAGACAACAAGGGAGACACAACTCAAATTTAAATTAATTAATCAGTACGATCAATCGATACTAATCGATGGTTAATAACGATTAATCGATCATCAAAATGATCCGATGGCAGAGCTCCACATCCCTGAAATAATCTCTATATGGTTGGTAGCACACCAAATATTTTTTTCTAAAACAAGAATAGTTCCTTACCATCATCTTCATCAGACTCTTCATATCCCTCACTATCCTCCAAACTTTCTCCATCACTACCATCATCATCCATCGTATCACTATATGTATCATCGTGATCCAACGTATCCACCACAAGTTTCTCGTAGTCTTTTAATAATTTGCCATTCTTCAAACGTCGATCGTCGGAACTACTCGGATCATCTTCGGAGTCAGTATCGTCCTCGTACTCGAGCTCGTAGTCATCAACATCTTCGACCAGAGTCGCGTCCTCTTTTCCATCAATCAAAAGGCGATCGAATCCAGCTTTCAATTCCCCAGATTCTTCAAGACTGCTACCAATACCAGATGTACTCCCGAGCGTGGAGTGCATCGCCTTCTTTTCAGGAGAGTCGAAAGCATGTCCAATAATTTCCATATCTTTTCTCTTTTTAATTTCGGCTTCGACAGCCTCATTTTGCTTAGCAACAGACTTACGTGATATCACGTGTTTGTCATGTGACACTACGTTCTTGTCACGTGCAACGTGCATGTTGATATCATGTGCATCACGTGGTGAGTCTGTAGCGGCGGTCGCATCTGAAGAGGATCGGCGTCTCAAGTGTACCGGAGTTCGAGCAATGCGTGGTTTCGTGTCAAACGGCAACGACTCTTCGTCATACTTTCGTGAACTATAATGTGGAAATACGAGGCAAAACTGCCGTTAGCACTGAGTAGCGTCTATCGGGTACACACGTAAAAACGCACAAGTTGTAACAAGTCACTCAGGCCTTAAAATATCGGTCGGTCACGGACATTGTCCAACCCATCCGTGAAATTGTCCGACGTAGAAAGGAAACCACCGGACATTCTGTCCGACCAAAGTGAAACTGAGGTTTATTGTTTGTCCGACCCAAGTGTATTGGTGTCCGACCGAACTGTAGCTTTGTCAGACGTATAAATCAAAACGTACCCTAGCCCAAGACTAGAGGCTTGTATGTTAAATGGAAAATCACAGTACTATTGTACAAAAGGTCAACTGGAAATGTTTTTTTAACGTAGTCGAGCGCGGGGCGGCGAGCGAAATGATAAAGTGGAAAACGGGCTTAAGTTGTCGAAGTCTTTTTGATACTGCTGTTCTGGAAAACAAGTTAATTTTGGCTTGGAAATAAAGAAATTCTTTAATATCTTTACAACATTTACCGTTTATTCATTTGTGTCATTCAGACTTATTTCCGAGTCAAAACTGAACTGAAGGTCATCGGACATATGTCTGATCCAAACTCAACGTCACCGGACATTTTGTCAGACGGCCCTGGAAAAGATATTTTAAGGCCTGGACAAGTTTGCAAACAAGTTGTTACAAGTCTGTTCACAAGCTGTCAACAAGTTGTGTTCGCACTGCTTGTTCCCAGTTTGTTGGAACAAGTTTGAAACAAGCTGTTAACAACTTGTAACAAGCTTGATGGCATTATCAGCCTTGTTAAGATTGTGCTAACAAGTTTGTTACAGCTATGGTATAACAAGGATTTTACAAGGTTGTCAACACAAGGTTGTAACAATCTTGTTATATCAAGCATGTCACAGACTTGTCAGAACAACCTTGCAACAAGTCTGATAATTTCGACAAGGTTGTTACAAGTTGTCAACAAGTTGTTCCAAACCTGTTGACAAATTGTGACAAGCAATGCGAATACATCTTGTTAACAGCTTGTGAACAGACATGTAACAAACTTGTGCGTTTTTACGTGTGTACTCTAGATCTCTAGAGGTCCAGTTACACGCGCAAAAAGCTCTCATCTTGTAGCAGTCTGCCAACAAGCCGTCAACAAGTTGTGTTCGCACTGCTCGTCCCAAGTTGTCAACAAGTTTGGAATAAGTTGTTAACAACTTGTACCAACCTTGTTGAGATTTTCGCGTTTGTATAGCCTGAGGAAACCTGCGGTGTTCGACAATGTCAAACAGGAAACACTCTTTTCACGTGCGATTGTGGCAAAATTATAATCATGCAATGCATGCATATTGCTGAATTCCGACACCGGACACAGAATTGACATTAGGCATACGCACTGACCACTCTGCAGTGAACATATCACCTTGTAAAAGTTTTCATAATTGCTACAAACGCTCTCCATATTTAGCTCTATAAATATACGATTTACAACAAAACACGGCAACACCTACCCTGCTGACCACGTTCTATTACCAGCCACTGGCTTATGATATCTCCCTGGACTGTCTTCAGCGTCGGACGAAAGTGGTGAAAGATTTCGCCCTCCTGACGTCTTGTGTTGATGACCATCGTAATGTTGCTAAAAATTTAAGTCAATAGTTGGTAATATGAACCAATTTTCTAATTGGTTTTTGCGAGACAAGATATACGGACATTTATCAGCTCAGGGTTCGTACACCTTCTCCCATTTAAAATTCCATGACTTCCCATCACCATTTTTTTCAAAATCCATGACCTGGAAGTCTGGAATTCGTTAATATTTTAACGATAACAGTTATAATAAAAGAACAAAATTCACTTCGCTCTTGCAAAAAATCCGTTATATAACAACAATTCATATTATTGTCGTGACTGGTAAATTGAAATAAGTAAAATACTTTGTTAATGTTTTGTAAAATTTCAATTTTCCATGACTTTCCATGACTAAAATTGATTTTCCAGGATTTCCAGGCCTGGATTTTGGAATATTGAAATTTCATGACTTTCCAGGACCCGTACGAACCCTGTCAGCTATTCTTGGCGTGCTCCGCACATGGACCACTTACCTCTCTGGGCGGAACAGGTGAAATCATGGTGGGACTCGTGGGAACTCTGGGACTTGAAGATGCAGCGTCAGAGAAATCAATGGACTTCAATGCACGACCTTTCTTTGATGCTGATCTCACGAGCGTCGGCTTCGTTTGAATTGGGCTTTCGTTGTATCCTGGTGCTAAAAGAAAAAATTAAATTAAAA